TTGCATGGTTTATGGTTTTGATTGGAAAGATTTAGAAGTGATAAGAAATGAATAAATACCTTGATTAAAATGATTCTACCTAAGCAAATATAAATGTTACCAAGCACAATTTATTGAATGAATAAAATAAGACTATCTATGATTCACTCTATATGATTTACTGATAAACACATAAACAAACATTGTAATATTGGAGAACTGTGATTTAAGAGTCATATTTGATAGAGTGAGGAATAAATCCTCTGGTGGCAGCAGAAAAGGGTTGAGAAATAAATGTCATACCTGAAAGTCAATCTGGGGTGTGGAAGAACAAACAGGAGAACTGGGTGTGTGTGACATTTACTTTCTGCCTTTGTTGATTTTGAGCACCTTTGGCACTGTGTTTATGCCACTCAGTTTTTTTAAAAAAATCCTTTTCAAGATGTTTAGCAATGTACTGCTTCATGCGCTTTGAATGTTTTTTCCCCCTTTTTCTGCATTGTTGAGAGTTTATTGCAGCATTACTTCCTCAGCAGATTCTATATTTCACTCATTGTCCCTGTTTCCTCCTTTCTGGTGATGAAACATTATTTTAATTCTATCATGCTTCCCTCCCTTTTGTTTTCCAAACTATAGGATACCAGATGATGCTTCATTGGTGGTGGGACAGCAAATGCTTGAATGAAGCCATTGATTTAAGGATGTATCACTTACTATATTTTTTAAAAAGTCAAAAAATGGACAAGCTCCTAAAAAAGAAAGGAAATGAGCTGGTTTTATCTATGTAGCTGCCAAAAATGGTTTTAATTACCAGAAATAAATAGAATTAATTTCGTTCAAAGTGGACACAGCTACCAATTTGTATACTACATAACATCAATATTAAAAAACATTAATCAATTCAAATGGGCAGTGTGACCCTTACTCTGTAGCTCTTCTACACTTGGTATGAAACTCTTTAAAATAAAATTCCTAAAGGATGTGGGGGCAGGGAGAACGAACCAGGAAGTCCGTTAAATTGTAAAAAAAGTTTGTGGTTCGGGTCAGTTCAGGTTTATCAAGTTTGACGAACCTGAACCAACGATTTTTAACTTGAACTTCCTGGTTCATTTTTTAGTTCATGCCCATCTCTACTAGCTACCTCTCTCTAGTGTGCAGTGGTAGATTTTAAATGTATGATTGAGTGCTGAAGGCACACTACCACCCCAGCTTCTGCCTCTATATTTCCAAATAAATTCAAATATTACAAAACACCAGAAATTTCAAGTCGGCTCCTTTTAAATAACACTAAACCTGAGTGCACAGAGAGTAATACTATCAAGTGATAATGTTCTTCAGCAACCAATGTATAATCTACAAACTCATCCAACTTCCTCATTTATTTGCAGTTGCATCTCCCCAGTGGTGCACAGTTGCTTTACCTGAGATGACTTAGGATTTCTATTTCTCTTCGGAGTTGGTGTTCTAGTTGAGATTTTTCCAGGGCAGACTTGAATATGACTTTAAAGGCCAGGATGAAGTGAGTATTTTTCTCCCGGGCCAGATAGACTGCTCCAAACCTTCCTTTACCAAGTGGCTTACCAAATTCAAAGTCTGTGGTACTCCACATTTTTCTGTCAATCAGATAATTGAATCAGTGCTAAATACTGCCTTGAAACAACAAATTACTAATAACATAGTCAACGATAACAAAGTAGCATCTCCCCCTTTTTTGAAACAATGAATATACTGTACAGTGGAATTACATTTCAAAAACAATGCAAGGAGCATGAATGATGTGTGTAAAAGTAATGCTTCATAGTTACACTCTTAAGTTACCTTTTGAGGTGATTTTAAAGCCTTTTCAATAGTCAATAGACTATAACAGAATAGAAATTTTCAAATTTTATGATATTCCCTCATCAGTCCTAATATTTTTTTACAATTCACTCTTCCCCTTTATGATGTTTAACAAGTGTTTTTCAAAATGTAATAAATAACAGGAACGAATTACTGTACTTTTAAAAAGTAACTTTCCAAGCTCATTATTTATTACTTTTCCCAACACAATCACATCCAACTCTCATATAATGCTGGCAGTTCTACACTATCACAATGTTTACTTGAGGAGGCAGACAGGATTTCTGGAGACAGCCCTCCCCAAACCCTGTCTCATCCTACCAGATTAAGAATCCAAATATACATTACAGATAGCATAACACAAGAATCTAAAATTGATTAGTATTGCAGAAAGGTGATTCAGGCAGATCTTCAGTACAGCTGTTAGGCGCTCTGATCCACAAGCAGGAACAGAATTATGAATAAGAGCCCAAGAGATAGGATCTGATGTGTGAAAGTATGCAATGAGTTATATTGACCACATTTGACATGTAGACGGACATATTGTGTCATCAAGTGGCATTCTTAACTATAATATGGCAGAAGGTCCATGCAAGTTTCAACAGCCTTTTGTAAAAAAGTCATTTGCTTACTTACAGAGGAAGCAGAGAACTGGAGTGATCCTTGGCTTTTCCTTTAGGTCCACTTCCCTGCCCTACGAAACCAGATGCCTTATTTTAGAAAGTTGTTGCATTGCTTTACCAAGTTGCCTTTTTTCTGTAATTAAATTACTAAAGGTATAGCCAACAATAGACAGTAGTAAGTGAAAAGCAAATTAATTTGTGAGGGAAAGATATTTGCATGTACTTGAGTAACGATTGTTTTATGAAAAGTATTTTGGATTGTATTATATAACTACCAAGAGAAACAGTTTGATAATTGCTTTTATTCATTAGGGTGTGTATATCGGGGCAGGGGGGTGGTAGCCCACAAGCTATATGTGGCCCACCTCCAGATACCACCATTGAAAAAGTATCAGCACAAAAACTGTGTGTGTTTTTGTGGGTGATACCTTTTCATTTCATTTTTCATGGTATTAATAGAAAAAAAATTCTCTACCTAGAAGCCTGCTGGAAGGGGATCGTTGTATTTGAAAAACCGGGATTCACAGTCTGTTGCTTTTGATGGTTTTTCTTGACCCCAGCAAAACTAAGATTAAAAGCCTACTGTAATCCTGCTTTTTTTTTACTATTACATCTTTAAAAAATCATGTACTGTTTTGCTTTATCAGCCTTCACTCCCAGCATTTTTTGTAATATTATGTCTGAGAAACAGATTTCTTTAAAAATCATGAAAGTTTCAACAGAGAATTTTGTGCCTTTTTAATTAGCTGAATAAAAGTGTCATAAAATATAGGTTTTGTAGTTTATCTTATGGTAAGCACAGTTTCACCTTGACGGATCTTACAGCTTTGTTCACATGTAAATAGGAGGAGAGACCACATTACTTTTTAGCTGTAACAAATTGTGTTTTCTTGCTACTTTCAAAAGTTACTTCTGAAGTCATGGCAGGCATTTTGAGAAGCATTTTGGCATTAAATATTCAGGTGTTCTCTTTATCAACCTTAACAGGCAAGAGAAGTATTCTTGTTTGTTGCCTTTTTGCAAATATTAGTGAAACATCAGAATTAACCATAAGCAGGAATCAGAGGGCATTTCTCTCTATTTTTCAGATCTGAAATAATGACAATTAATAACACGTAATGCAAGAGATTATTTCCAAATCAAAGCAATCATAGTAATGGTGACAACCTAGCTGCTGACATTTAATATGTCACCTAACATGTTCATTTTAAAAAGCAACTTTCCAAACTCTGACGGCAACATATCTACATACCATATTTTTCCATGTATAAGACTATACTTTTGTCTAAAAACTTTAGACTAAAAATTGAGGGTCATCTTATACACGGAAGTAAGCTGAGGAGAGAACAAAAACAAGTGGAGGGGAAAGCAGGGATCAAAGCGATTCTGCAGCACTTTTATCCCTTTCCCCCTGCACTCTCTAAGGCCCACATAGATTTCTTAATTTTGGATTAGAAAAGTGGGAGGGCGTCTTATACATGGGGTGTCTTATACATGGAAAAATACAGTACACTGCTCATGGCATAATTACAAAGTTGCCATCAAGCACAAAAGAAGCTATCTGCTCATACCAGATTTCAGTTCATGTTGGGATAGGATATAGTTATGAATGTTTCAAACTCAGTGCTTGAAACTCAGTCACTTTCCCTTTAGATTACACCTCCCATACTGATTGGGGGATTCTGGGATAAGTGGTCCAGAAAGGGAACTTCTCCAGGATGATCAGGTAGGGTGCAAAAGAACTGGTATCATACCCTCTGAATTGGATTCCAGTGCTTCCTTGTTCAGGACCTTTTTACGTTTTGGAGATGATCCACCCTGAGATGCAGAGGTTGAAACACAAGAGCTACTGCGTTGCTTCTTTAAAAGCTTCTGGTGTCCAGTGGAGCCTTGCATCTTTGTCTGAGGTAGAAATGGCTAAAGGAATATTCCAAGAGGCGACAACGCACCACCCATTAGTTGTGAGTGAAAATGTCAGTAGTGCAACACAGGAAAACTACACTTGTTGATATGCCAGATAAAAAACAGTGATAAGACTCAATGATATTTTGTTCACTTATTGCGCAAAAGATCCTATATAAGGAGAAATGGATTCAAACAGATAAAAGATTAATGGATCACCATGGTTATTATAATGAGCAGACATCTGTTGAGTTATTTTAATATTTATTGGAAAAACAGAAAGCTGAGCATACGTGATTTATTAGGATACAGCTGGATGGGGTTGTCAGGTCAGTAGTTTACCAATCCTTGAGATGTTAGGGCCAAAATCTGAGACCGAGGATGGGATTTGGCCCTTGTGTAACTATTGCAAAATAATGCGTGCATGAGAGGGTAAGACAAACAACAACATAAAGATGCACATTTTACCAATATTTATTTCCACTCATTTCCTAGCCCATATTAACAGCGCTCATACACACCATCGCAGAGAGAAGGAAGCTAAATCATGTCTTTCATGAAATGCTAACATTACTTATATACTCACTACATGTCTAGTTTGTTTCTCTTCCAGCAATTTCAAGGTGGTTGATGTGGTTCTCATCCTCCTCACTTTAGCCTTACAAGAACCCCATGAGGTAGGTCAGGTCATGAGAGAATGACTGACACTAGCATTACCCAATGAGTTTGAAGTACAACCTCGATCTGACAAGTCATGGATGAATATGTATTCTCGAAGGCTTTCAGGGCCGGGATCTGATGGTTGTTGTGGGTTTTTCGGGCTCTTTGGCTGTGTTCTGAAGGTTGTTCTTCCTGACGTTTTGCCAGTCTCTGTGGCCGGCATCTTCAGAGGACTGGAGTAGGAACTCTGTCCATGCTCTGTTGCTGTTTGTTGGATAATTGAGTATTTATAGCTGGTTATACCCAGCCACATTATACCCAGCCACAAGGACCAGGGGTCATTGCACAAAAGAGACCAGCGAAAGACACCCATCAGCCACAGTGACAGATAATCTCTCCCCCTTATCACAACAATACATCCACAACAAAAACATGCTGATCACTCTACCTCCTGAAAAGGACAAAAGCTGTTCCCACAGCTATAAATATTCAACTCTCCAACAAACACCAACAGAGCATGGACAGAGTTCCTACTCCAGTCCTCTGAAGATGCCGGCCACAGAGACTGGCAAAACGTCAGGAAGAACAACCTTCAGAACACGGCCAAAGAGCCCGAAAAACCCACAACAACCATGGATGAATAGTTCGACCACTACACTAGATGAGCTTTTGGGTGATGTAATTGCTGAATAGCACCAATCTCCCATGAGAAAAATGGCAGGAGGTACTAACTTTTCTGCTTCTGTGAAATGAATCTGTAGTATGTTGGTTGTTCATCAGTTCAGTCTTCAAGGGAAGCAATACTAAATGTTTTAAAAGGAACTGTATAATGTTACAAGTGAACCCTGTTGTAAAGTATTTGAGTGTGTTTTGGTCTTGAATGGACAAGAGAGAACCATTAGCAGTACACAAGACCTGCCCTTCATTTGTTACTCTATGGGCCAATTTAGCTGCCTGCTCTTTTTGGTCTTTGCTTATTTTGGGAGAAGGGTTGGCTTACGAGAATTGTTTCATGAGCAGCTGTGCTTCCTGGTTTTTCACTACACCACTTGAGAGAACAAGCACAGTAAGTTTCCCAGGTGCAATTAAAAAAAATCTCCCATTTTTGGCTATCGATCCATCAGACAGCTTCACTGTCTGAAACACAACAACTGTATAAATGGAGAAAACATTGATTTCTACTGTTTATTTGGTACAATATTCCTCTCCCATACTAATGCTTGTTTTGTGGTCATCTTACAAGCCCTTATAACTTAGATCTTACCTGAAACAAATAGGCTCAGCCAGCTTCCAGAATGCTAGAAGACTCAAAGCATCTGCTTAGTGAAGAGCCGTTCCCTTCTCATTCACTACAACTGGGCTCAGCTGTAAAATCCCTCTCCTGGACCAGAGCCAGACTGAGACCCTGAATTCACACAATTTGAGGGAATAAAGCAGCGATGGGCAATTTGCGGGCCTTCCAGATACGGTTTGGCTGCAGCTCACAGGCAGCAAAATGTCTCTGGCAGGCACTGGTTTTAAAGCTCATTGAAGACAACCGATATAAACTCACACTGGTAGACAGAGTGGGTGGGAAAGAGGGTGCTCATCCTGCAATCATGGGGAGGAGGAAGAGATGTAGAAAGACAAATACATGAGCAAAACAGAACAAAATGGGGCTAAGAATAAAAAAAGCTTTGTGGCACACTAAAAACAAATGAGGGATAGGTCTTTTGTAAAGTTAATGTCTCTCCATTGTTAATTCAAAAGCAAAGTACACCCAAATACGTTGCATTACAATAGTGACAACTTGCAACATTATACTGTTCTTTTTAAAAACATCTTTTTCAGCTGATTTGAAGACTGCACCTAAGCTCAGAGGAAACGGAAACACCTTAAAGAGTTACAAGGTATGCACGCAACTAATTAAGGGCACTTCCAGATGTTACATTTGTTCCCCTCTATTAGTATTTTACCCTATATAGTGGACCCTCGACTTACAGATGGCTCGACTTATAGACTTTTCGAGTTACAGACTTCTCTGGCTGCAAAATTTAGGTTCGACTTGCAGCTTGAGAATCGACCTACAGACCCCAACTAGTTAAGGGCACTTCCAGATGTTACATTTGTCCTCTTTACTAGTATTTTACCCTATAAATATCCATATCTATTACTTCTGGGATTTGTGTGCTGATGAGGGTGGCCAGCTCTGAAGATTCTCAGCACCTTCGTTTTTCTCTTTTTTTGGCTTTCTTCCCTGCTGTTGCCCATCAAGAGTTCCTGGTCCACCTACTGTCTTAGCATGGTTCTAAAATCACTCCCACCCACAGACCCCTGCTCAATATGAATAGAAGTCAAACCCCCGCATTGTGTCTGCCTCTTGCACCTTGTATGTACTTTCTTTTTAAACAGGGGAAACATAATAGTGTAAAATCATCCCTGCAGGGGCTGGGTCATTTTTATAAGAACCAAAAAAAAAGTGTGTGTTTCAGCTTGCTCTTACATACTTCTCCCAATTTCTCTTCTGTCCAGCTGAGTTCCTTGTATCATCTCCACCTCTTTGATGTCAGGTGTGTGCAATGACACACAACCGGCTAGATTTTTACCCAAGGCATAGGCAGGCTGTATTGCGGCCCAGAGTAGACCTTTGGTCTAGATGCACGGGGTATAAATCTAATAAAATAAAATACATAAAATAAAATATTCTGGATGCATTGTATTGGTTTGTTTCTATATATTTTACTGCTTTATTGGATTCTTTTTTTCAAATACTATTTTATACTCTGTTTCATTATATTTCCAAGTGTGGGTGGTTCTCATTCATTCTAACTGAACTCTCTTGTCCCTTTGATTTAAAGGTGACTGTGACAAACCCAGACCTACTGGGATATGTCACACAGTTACACTAAGCTGCCACCAACCATTCCCTGTAAGAAGTCACACAGACCAGGGATGGATTTTTAAACAATAAAAAGAATAAGGTTTATTTTACCCTGTCTGACACACAGACTCCCACAACAGCTTCTTCTTCCCAGCTGCTGCTTCGTCACACCCCAGTGTCTCTCAGCATCTCTACTACTTCACCACACACGCTCCACATATATATATACAGTACAGCCCCTCCTCCTGATGTCCCGCCTTCCACTCCCCATAGGATGGAACTTTCCCTCCAAACCCATGACAGACAGGTAACATCAGTGCTGTCTGTAACAGTGACATTTAAATCGATGGGTGCTGGTTTTGGAGAGAAAGAGCAACCTTAGGAAATCACCCCGTGGACAGGACTTTTTATCTTAAGTTTATCCCATAGTAACACCAGTGTGAAGGCGGGGAAGGGAAACCACTTAAATTTTCCACCATTAGGTTTGTATTTTGTAAACAGGGTACTGATCCTGTGCTTTTAAGAAAAAAAAAAAAACGGATCAGGTGAAGCCATTCCTAATCATTTTAGCTTTGCACTAAACCAACTTCATCTGCTACATTTTTGTGGGTCGGTCTATACAGTGGTTAAAGGCAGGGTGGTTTTCCTACAGTTGAGTTGCTGTGAATAAAAAACAGCAGTTGCTTGGGAGAAGGGAAGTCGTTATGGCTTGAAAGACAGAGTGGTATTGATGTGCACAACATGCATTGTGCTTTTCAAGTTATCTGGCGCCTCTCAGGAACAGCAGGAGAAGTCCCTCTGCTAGCTGTTAAGACAAGATTCAACTGTGGTCTTTTTGGCGCTAGTTTCTTATCTGTGGAACACCACACTAGCAGGGCTAACTTTGATATTGCTCTGTGCCAAACGGAAGTCTTTTGTTTTTTAAAATTTGTCTGGGCATTTCAAGATGCAATATTAATTATTTTGATTAAACTGATTATGGTTTTATTTCTTTCCTGAATTTTATGGCTTTGTTCAATTGCGGCTTCTGCTGTTTTATTCTTGTAGACCTGCACATATTTACTATTATTTTTATTGTATGCCACAGTATAAGTGTTCCTGTAATGCACTCTGGTTCTATGGGGCAGTGCGTGTGCATGCAATGCTTTTTATATATTTTAAATGAGTATTGAAAATACAGATTTTACCCCCCCCAAAAAATCCAGTAATTTAAAATATATAAAAAGTGTGCAGGCACACACAGACAGCCTCATAGCACCAGAGTAGTAGGCAGTGATATAAACACACAACCCAAAATTGAATGCCACAGTTTGTACAATTCCAGTTTTGACTAGATGATTTTGCTCAACGGGGGGAGAGAGAAAATAAGCTTACTTGTTGTTAGCATTTGTTCGTCGTTCACCTGTGTCTGCTGCGGCTTTCCCACCACTTTACGCCTATGGCGGTCCCTCTCATATCTTAATACCAATCAGGGATGTTGGCAAGTATTCAGGACCAGGTCGTAAGCCTCAGTCTGAGTCCCTATTAAAGACAAGCTTCCCCCCCCCCCCCCGAGAAAAATGGAGGAGTGGGTGGGTTCCAAGTCATGATTAGAGTCTTGAGTGATTGGGAAAAAACTGAGTCGAGTCACTGGTGCGATTTAAGTCCAACAATTTGAGTCCCTGTTCCTGGTTCTGATCCCTCTGATTCTGTAACAGATGTAGAGCAAATATACAGTATTTGCCTGGATTCATCCATGGAAGTGCGATTTAAGTCCAACAATTTGGACTGTTCCTGGTTCTGATCCCTCTGATTCTGTAACAGATGTAGAGCAAATATACAGTATTTGCCTGGATTCATCCATGGAAGTATTTGGAAGACGGCGTCACTGAGTATTCACCACTAGAGGGCACAGTAGTGCTGTGAATGGCACAGAAGCGACATCTCTGCTGTTTGTAGCCCAGGGGCAGCACTAGTTTCAAGTGAATTGAAGCAGGCTGCCTTTACAGCAGCGGTCCCCAACCTTTTTAGCCCCGAGGGCCGGCTGGGGAAGGCAGGGCACCCTTGTGTGCTTGTGCGCATGCACAAAGGAGTATGCTCTCTCTCGTGGGCACATTCGTGCTTGTATGCATGTGGAAAGGGTGGTGTGGTGCTCGTTGCAGGCGTGTGGGCATTCGTGCGCATGCATAAAGGGTGGCACAGCAGTCAGGGGGCACTCATGCACATGCGCAAAGGGGTGGGGGAGCGCTCATGTGGGTGCAGGTGCAAACAGGCTGTTCGGGGGGAGTGCTTGTGCGGGTGGGGTGGGGTAAGTCTACCTCTGTGGCCTGGTCCAGCTCAGCCCACGGACCGGCACCAGGCGGCGGACCGGGGATTGGGGACCTCTGCTTCAGAAGGATGACTTATGTCTCCCCATAATTCACGGAGGTTCATCACACTCCATCCAGGACAATTGTTTGGTCTCAGCCAGCCCGTTTTGTAATCTTGCTGGCTGGGAATGGTATTATAACAGTTCATTATGAAACAGTTAGCGGCTTCCTTTAAAAAAAAAAATCTAACATTTCAGGCAGCATCCATGCTTAACAGAAATCAGATTACCTATTTTACACTAGAAAAGGGCTTTTGTTAGGCTCCAGAGGAAACCCACAAACCTTCCAAAAATTACTACCATCAAGCCACATGGCCAAGAGCCATCGAAAGCAACCACAAGAGCAGAGCACAAACCACAAACTGTTGTGCTTTTTGTGGAAAGAAGAAAACCCTTTCCATTGACCTCAGTTTCTTCTGAGTTTCTTCTAAAGTGAAAGAGAGATGTCTTTTGGGGTTTTCCTACCAGCTTAAGAAGCCTGCTAATGTTTCCACATTTTCTATTGGATGCGCCACAAAGCAGGCAACAAAGCAATGCAGGAGGGAAAGGAGGAAAGCGGTGGCTTTGTATTTAAATCCAGATGCCCACAAATAATCCAGTTTGTTAACCAAGGCTTGAATACAGAGGCTTGTAGACAAGCCAGGCGGGAAACGTTTAAGGATTACTGTAATTGTTTTTGTACACATATATGAATATAAGAACAGTTGTGCTGAATCAGGCCAACAGCCTCATTACTTCTTTTGCTCTGTTAATTTGCTTGGTCCTATCCTCAAAGTGTCCATGTTGGTAGCGAGCACTGCATCCTGTGTTTCTGAATTCCATAGTGTCACTGTGTATTATCCACTGTGTATGGATGTCTGTTCTTAATTATGTGCTGTCATTGCCTTTGTCCTTCCTGAATACAGTATAGGATAACCCTTTGTAGGGAAGTTGCTTCCATCCATGCTGATGGCCCTTTTCACACGCACTTATATTATCTTTAAAGTGCACTGGTAGAACTTCAATCGGATGACCTCAAAATATGTCACATACAACTATGCTGTAGTTCAAAACATCAAGTTGGAATAGGATGTTATTCATGATTGGGTAATTTTAAATTTGGAAGTCAGAAGGGCTGCCGTTCCAAACCTGGGTGTAATTCAGCCTGCAAGCCCCCAACCTGAATCTCCATCCCAGGCAAACTTACATGCCAAACAGAGAAGACTATCTGAGCAAGGGGAACTCCTATCTAGGGACAGGCTTTGGGGATTTGAGGGGCTACAAACAACATATTTCTGCATTCTGGAGAAACTAGTCAAGCTTTGTCCAAACTTTCTTCTCAGAAATGAACCTCC